CAGCTGCTTCAAACCCGTTTCCACGGCTCACCCAAGGGAAGCGCGTTGTAGCTTACCCCTGAAGCCCTGCACATCCTAGAGCTCCTCCTTGCCCACATTTTCCACAGTACTGTTGGTGGTCAAGGCCACTCGGAGTACTTAACCTTTTCTCTTCTTCGCCACCTGTCGCATTCTCAACCTGCACAAAGTCGGTTCAGCGCACCATTTCTCCCAGGGATCACCGCGATCAGTCTCCCTGCCATTTTCTTCGGGCCTCAAGATTGGTCCCCTTTCAACTCATCCTCCACTGAGCGTCCCCACTAGCTTTCCAAAATGCAAATCTTATCACATCTGGCCCCAGCCTAAAGTCCTTTATTGACTCTTCATAGTTCAGAGGATGAAGTTCATGTTTCTTGGCACGTACGGGTCTTGTTTATCTCTGTGCTCTCAACTTCCCCTCCCTGAAGGCCCCGTTTCCCTCTCTGTGCTGTGCTGCACGGACTTAGGGTTCTTGATCCACATCCCACACACACACACACACACACACACACCCGTGCTGTTTCATGCCTCTGGCCCTTCACACCGGTGATGTCCACCACTAAACATCCTCTCGTCTCTGCTGTGTCTTCCCCTCATCCTGATCCCTCAGAATCTAGGCGCCACCTCTTTGGGAAAGCCTCACTATACAACATGATTTAAGTGCTCATCTGGGTTCAAACATCACTCTGTGCATACCTCCGTTAGAAGATATATAACAGCTCAGTCTTTGACCCCTTATATGTCCCTTCTTTCTCTCCAAGTCCCATGAGGGCAGCCCCTGTGTCTTACCTAAGTTTGCATTCCTACACCTAGCATGATACATCTGGCACGTGGAGGCTGTTCAATAAATACTGAATGAAAGCTTGAACCAAGAGCATTATTTTCTTTCAACTTCATAAACTATGAGGTGGTTATTATTAGAATAGAGTCTACCAGTCAGGACCATACATTCATTTCTTCCACTTTATGGACAAAAGACTTTCAAAGAGTTACTGGGAAAGCAAGGACTATGCAGGAGCAACCTGGAAAAGGATTATTATACCCTTTGTGTAGTAATCCCACCTCTAGGAATGCCTCCTAAATAATCAGAGGCAGAAAAGCTTTATTCACCAAGATGCTCAACACCGAGTAATTTGTGATAGAAAAAAAAAAACAACTGGAAAAAATAGAGAAATAATTAAACACCCAGAATTATGGTACATAATACAACTAAACATTATACTGCCATTATATGCTGTTTCAAAAGAATTTTTAATCATCCGAGACAATGCTTATGTTATGCATAGTAAAAAAGACGGATAGAAAACTAACAAATATTATAAAATCTTAAATGACACAAAGGAAAAAAAAACCCTTTACAATAAGCAGAGATACAGGATTTAACAGAAACATACAAAAATAAACACTTTAGTAATTATATCTTAGGTGATTTTTGTTTTTCTATAATCTTTGGTATTTCCTAAATCTTCTACAATAGGCCCCTTGACTTTTACCATCAGAAACATGCAAATTTTCACGTTAGAGATTTTGACTGTGTGGCTATTATGAACATCTTCTGTTCTATTTGTGCAGCGTCCTTCCTCCTTCCTCCAGTAAGAGTGCCTCAGTTTTTCCTTGGGGACACATCGTCCCTCATTCTTAGACCTCATGGTGTGGATGAAATGGACCCTCAACCCCTAGCTCCCAGGGTGGCCGTGGGATCCAGACCCAGTCAGTCATCATATCCTCCCCATCTGGCTTCAGTGACTGGTCCCAGGTGGGCGTGTGACTTAAGCTGGGTCAGTATTTTTATGGGAGATGTTCACGGGGGCAGAAAAGCTCTGCTCACATTGGTACTAATAAGCTGTGAGCCTAGAGCTGCGTGAGTGCACATGAAGAAAGGGGAGTCATACAGGAGCGTGCTGCTGAAGGATGGACATGGAGAGAGATGCATGTGTACACACACACCACACCACATCACACCACACCACACACACCACCTTCAAGTCCTGATGACTTTGAATTCTTGAATCAAGGAAAGTGTCGAATGCTAGCCTCACTGGACTTTCCAATTCTAAGAACCATTACATTTTAGGTTTCTTTGTTTGTTTTTTGAGTCTGTTTGAGCTGGGTTTCTACAAGTTGCAATAATACAGTTATGAAAACAATAAACCATGTAAAGTATAATTTATAAAAGGCTCCAGGGCTGTCATCAAAAAGAGTACAGAATTGGCCCTGTACATCCTACCTGACAACGTAAAACATTTCCATCGTTGTAAGTGTTTCTATGGGACATGTCCTAAAATGTAGTTCACTCCCATAGCAGGTCACTTAGAGTACTTTCTTATGCCTTCTTTTGCTGGCATGAGGTGTTATTAAAAATAGCTAGTAACCCTAAAGGCACAGGGGCTGGAGACTTCCTGCTATGCCTGGCATTAAACCTTTAATGGCTGGATCTGAGGAGATTTGGGGTATCTCAAGAAAGGGATTGGAGTGAAGGGGCACTTCAGTGTTTAGGGCAGTGACTTTTTTTCCCAGTCAATACAGAGGACTTCAATATTCTACCAACCTATGTAACCAACTTGGTGTGTATTGTCTGAACACAAACCCTGTTAGCCGATATTAGAGTTTCTTTTTGGGTATCTGCTTACCCTCCCAGACTGTGAATCCCACTAGGCAAGGACTTTGTCTTACTGATTTTTGGAGGTCTTGTGCCTACCAAGGTGCTCAGTAGATATTTGTTGGATGGTAAACATGACTGACAGTCCAGCATTGTATAATTCCCTATTCTGGTTTTTTTTTTTTTTTTTTTCTGATAGAAGTTTCCTGCCTAGAATTAAATTGCAATATGGTCTCTTTTCACCCTCTCTTTTGAAGACTTGTTATCCTCTCCAATATCAGTTGATTGAAGAAGAAAATTGTAAATTTTCTCTTGCAGGCATAATGTTGATATTTTAACTCACAGTGATTTTTTTTCTTACTACAAAATGGATTTTAGAAATAAATCAAGATCCCAGAAACTTATGATTGCTTTGAGTGGTAGCTTTTATCTCTGTCATCCTAAGAAAAAGATGTGGTCTGATGGCCCAGAGCACAGAGAGACCTTTGAATTTCAGTTTTCCCACAGCTGTATGACTTGACACATTTGCTAAAACATTGGGGTGGGGGTTTCCCAGTCTTGACTATAAGGATTGTGGCAGGGCCCACCTCTATTAACAATGGTACTCCCAGTACCTAGCTCTTCCTTGTTCAGAGTAGACACTTACATGCTTGTTGAATGAATACATGAGTTTAGGGAGAGGCAATCGTACATATTGATTGACCTAGAAATGATAATTTTTTAAAAAGATTTTTTATTTATTTACTTAAGAGAGGAGGAGGGGAGCATGGGTGCAGGGAGGGGCAGAGGGAGAGAGGACTGAGTGTGGAGCCCAGTGAGGAGGGGCTTGATCCCAGGACCCTGAGATCGTGATCTGAGCCCAAGGCCGGCGCTCAACCGACTGAGCCACCCAGACGCCCCTAGAAGTGATAAATTTAAGTGATTAGCTTTAAAAATCCTCTTAAAAAAACTAACTTAGGTCCTATCAATATCAAACAGGAGAGCTTTCAATATTAAATAAAGTGGGGTGGGGGAGCTGGTTAACTATACCTTTTGGACGCTATTTTAGGGAAGAGTCTAGGTGTATCTGTATGATTCCCCCACTTTTTCTGGTGGGCACCTCCTATTTATTTTCCCCTCTGAAGCTCTCTGGTAAGGTGTTTTCCTGGTTTATTCGAACACAACGGTTAAGGTCATCATACCTGGAGTCAGTCTTAAAATGACTAGCTCTCCTCTCTATTTGCTGTGCGGTCGTGGGCCACTTTTTAAAACTCAAATAATAAACATTCTGCTCTACCTATCTCACAAAGCTGCTGTTGTGAGCGTGGAATATTAGAGTAAGGAGAAACTATAAAACCCTGTACAGATACTGTTGTTACCTTGGATAAAGCAATTCCCAGGCAGTGGAACCTGGTTTAAGAGAATTATTTTACTATTATTTTGCTCCTGGTACCGGCTAGGGCAGCTAAGAGGACGGTCAGGACCCCTGCCCCCAGTAACCGTCCTCTGGTACAGAAGCAGAGAAACCACGCGGGGGGGGGGAGTTGGTGAAGGAGGAGGCTCCCAAAGAGCTTAGCACAGCGACTTCTGGCGCAAATGGGTTTAAAAACTCGGGCTCGCAGAGCAAACTTCGCAAGGCCCTCTTCCCCACTCGGAAAGCCAAGCTGGGTTCTCCAGGAAAGTCTCGGCAGGGGCTTCTTGGGCGGAGGCCACGCCGACCAATAGAAACCAATTGTGTTCTTACGGTTAAGAGCAGGTGGAGAAACTGAGCATAATTACCTACGCCCTGGCTCAGCATTTTACCACGGTGTCAGGCGCCTCTCTTGGTCCCCCTCCATTAACCGACATGGAACAGAATGTGGGGGCCTAATTCCTAATCCCCTGCACCCCAATTCCCGTCGATTCCCGCACCACCTCCGCCACCAGCGGCGTCTCTTCTCTTCCCATCGGAGCGTGCTCGAGGGCCGGGCGGCGGACCTTTATTGTCTGGGGAGCACCTGCCAGGTGGCGGGCCCGGGCCCTAATGTGCGCTGGGTGCCGGGCTTCACAAAGCGCGCGGGCAGCACCCCCCTCATCTGGCAGCCGCCTCGGGCACCCGACCACATCACAGGGGAGGAGGAGAGGTAGAAAGATGAAGGGGCTCCGGGGTCAGGAGCGGGCGGCGAGGGCCAGCACGCCCTCCTCCTCCCCGCCGGCTCAGCCCCCGGGGATTAACACGTCGAATGAGCGGAGGCCAGACGCCGCCGCCGGGAGGGAGCGAGACCCGGGAGCGAGGGAGGGAGGGGAGGCGAGGAGGGGTGCGGAGAAGGGGCGTGGCCGGCGCGCAGGGGGAGGGCGCTGGGAGGAGGGGCCGCTGCTCGGCGCTAGTGGCTCTGGGGGCTCGGCTTTGCCGCGCTCGGTGCACTTGGGCGAGAGCAGGAACGTGGAACGTAGCTCCGATCCCAGCGCAGCCACCGCGATGAGAGGCGCTCGCGGCGCCTGGGATTTTCTCAGCGTCCTGCTCCTCCTGTTCCGCGTCCAGACAGGTGGGAGAGCGCCGCGGGCCGTAGGGCCGCGCCCCCCCCGCCCCGGCGCAGCCTGTGTCTCCCGAGGGCTCGAACGCGTTCGGGGGATTCGTCGGCGGAGGTGGCTGACGGCCCTCCAGTGCCCGTGCTTTTTAGGCTCCGGGAAGGTTCGAGGCGTTCCCGGGACTCTCCTGCGCCCCGCCTCGCTCACCTGCGCGTGGAGCCCCTGCCGCTGGTGGCGAGGGCGCTGAGCTGGGGGTCTTGCGGGGAGGGCAGCGAGGGGGCTCAAGAGTGGGCGAGGTGCGGCTGCGGGCTGCGTGCGAGTTGGGGGTTGCTTTTGTGCGGAGGGTACGCGGGGGCCGAGGCGGGCGTGTCCGGGGTCCGCACCCAGCGCGTTATCTCCGCGGTGCGAGGCGCGGCCGCTGCTGCCTTTTGTTAAAAGTTGCGCGCGTGTGACCGGCGCTCTGGACGAGCAGCCCGCAGGTTCTTAGCGGCGCCGAGGGCAAAGTTGGAGAGCCTTTTCTTTGCTCTGCGGCTGCCGCTTTCCAAACCGCGGGCGCTCTTTGTGGCCCAGAGCTGGGGACAGACCCGCTGCCGCCTCTCCTCGCGGCGTCCCCGCGGCCCCTGGTTAGGCATTTTGCCCGGGGAGCGCGCGGCGTGCGGCTCTGGGGCCGGATCCCGCGATCCTAGAGGTGGCGGCTACGGGGACAACTTGGGCAGGGCGTGTGGAAAGCAGCCGCTAGGTTGCAGACTTTTTGCTGTTGTAAATCCCATGCCGGAGGCTCGCCCCTTTCCGCCGCGGTGCCGTTTCTTCCCTGCCACGCGCCTCCGAGCGGCTGGTGGCTGCGTTAGCCGCCTGCTCCCGGAGGAGGCAGGGACGGGGCGCTGGGACGCTCAGGTCCTCCACCCGGCGGCCTCCCGGGCCCCGCTAGTATGCCCGGACAGGCTGGCCGGGCTCTGCAAGCCGCTCGAATCGGTATCTGCGTCCTGTAATTTCGGGTCCCCGTTTTCTTTGGGAATTTTGAGATTTGCAACACCCTTTCGCACGTGATAGCCACACTACTTAAGGGCCGCCTGGGGCGGGGGTGGGAGATGGAGTGGAAGTTTCAGCAAATCTTTCTTGGATCTTAAAGCTGTAGTGAAAATCCGGTTCCGTCTGCGCGGGAACTTGGGTCTGAAGGTGGAGGAGGAGGATTCGCAGGCTCCTGGAAGCCCTAGGTCGGATTCCTGCCCCTTCTTCCCTTTTTTTCTGGGTGTCGCTGGTGCGCGAGCGAGTGCAGGTCGCCCGGCTAACCCTTGAAACCCTGCTCTCTCCCAGGTCATTTTTTAAAAACCTTTAAGCCTACCCCAATGATGTAAGGAAAGAAAGTGAGGCTGAACTGGAATTTGAGGGCTAAAAAGAAGATCGCTATGAACTATCGTGGTGTACTCAGTTGACCACTGGTCCGTTTTCCATAAAGTCTCAAGGTGCAGCCTCCCCACTCCAAGGGCTTGAAAGGCATTGTTGTGAGGGCTTTCCTGTGGAGGCAGGGAGGCCTTGCATCTGGACCCTGTGAGGTGGTGGTGGAGGGGAGGGACCATGCGTGAGTGCCCGGATTCCGTGGCAGATTCGACCGGTTAAGCTTCAAATGACACGTTTGTTCCTTACGTCTTTGTGCCTTGCATTTTTAATTTCAGTTAAGGTATGTGTACGGACCCGAATAGGGCACTAGAAAGACAGACCACACGGAATAGCTGCCTTTTTAAAAATTAAATGAATCAGTTGCTTCCTTCTCCCTCATAATTATTCCTGCTCCATCCAATAGATTTTTGGCAGAGGGAATTTTAAGGTCTGGCTCCTGGGGGGCAGTATGGTATAGTGACAGAGCCTTGAGCTGCCCTTCTGGTTCTCCTTTCCCAGCATTTATTAGCCGTGTGCCCTTGGCAGGTCGTTTAAATTCTGGAGATACCGATTTCCTCAAGAGGACAGTGAGGCATCTGCATCAGGAAGGATCCTTTGGGTCCCAGATTTCTCCTCTTCCAGTGTTCTGAGCGTAGACTACAATTTTTTGAATTCTTTTCCTGATTCCTTTCTGTCTCCCTGAAATTCCTCTGCCTCTCCCGGTCGCAGGGACCACTCGCTAAAGCCGGGAGGTGTGGTTTACCCTCTTTTCTCCTAGATCCACACACGTTTGCCTAGTTTCTCTTTGAATTCAATCAAGGAGGTGCCAACTCTGTAGGACCCTCCATCACCACTCCCCTCAGTATTTATGACTCCTGTGCCCAGCAAGATGAGCCTGCAGGGAATAGTGAATCATACTTTCCCCTTGTTCCTGCAGGTGTGAGGCCAGAGTCATACCCAGCAGCTGGCCCTGGGACATTTTGGATCTTCTCCTGTTGGGAATAATATGATGGTCTTGTAAAGTCCAGAAAAATCATTTATCCCCATTCTGGTCTTTCCCACTCATCCACAGATTTTTTTCTTATGACTTGATAAATTATGTATGCTGTGTTATTGCAACACATTTTCTGATATGCCTTACATTTCACTTCGTGTGTTGTACATAGCTGTTCTTTATTCAGAACTGGGCTTGGGGGGGGGCGGCTTTACATGGTATTTCTAGTCCTTCCAGCAAGCCCTGGAGGTCGTAGTACTCCTGCCATCCCTATCATTTTATAGCAGGAGAAACTGGCTGAGGATAAGTCAGTTACCAAAATAATCAGTGGTGAAGCCTGACTACATATATGCCCAACTGTATATCCATTCACATGCCTTAACAGAATCAGTTGTGTGATTCATTGGAAACTATGCCATGAGCCCATATTATATGCCAGGATATTGTTGGAGGTTTTGGGAATACAGGATGGTCAAGGTCATTACCTTCCAAATTTTGGTAAAAAAGACCTAGAATTGCCTGTCTTGGGATGTCTCAGTTAGTGTTCTCAGTGTGAAGGGAAGTATTCCCTGGGGAGGGGAGTCATTAAATACCGCTTCCCTGGGGAGTGTGTAGGCAATTGATCCTGGGCAAGAGGGCTGTAGGTGTTAGCTGTCCCATTCCAAAAGCCCTCAGAAATGAAGATAAGCTGTCTCTAAAATGATGATGGAAGTCAGTTGATTTTTTTTCCATCCCCCTCTCCAGAAAATAAAAACGCTTTCGGCATTATTATATACTTGTGGCATACTTGTGAAAGAGCAGACTCCCAGGAATGAGTTAATAACCGTTGGTCATTTACCCTGAATGGGCACAGTGAGATACAGAAGGGCAGTTTCCCACTCCTAGCCCAAGACAGATTCTCAGAAACGTGCCAGGTGCTTTGTGGGCTTCCCTGGTAGCACTTTTAGGGACAGATGTGGTGATGGATTTTGCTGCTTTTGACGCTGCTGGAAGTTGCCCTTAGGATTATGACTCATTTCCTCAAGTTTCCCCCCAGCTGATTAAAGAAGGACACCAGGAAATGAGCTGCAGTGTCCAAGGGGAATTCTTGAATCTGGCCTTACAGGACGGGAACCCCTGAAAGGCAGTGGTCAGGGCTGCAGCCGCCTTTGCTTCAGAGTGGATTTAGTCTGACGGTCAGTGGACAGGCTGGGACGGGGGGAAGTGCTTTATTTTGCTGCATTCATGTGTGGTTAACTTTGAAAATAAGGGATTGAAAGACATGGGAAGGGATCTTAAATATGCAACATTTCATGGGCGGTTTCTGTAACTTGAATGGGTAGCTGCATGACTGCAAAATCCAGATCGAGGAGTGCCTACCAGGGAGTAAGCAGAGGTACGAGTGTGAATTTAGGGTAAAGCCAGTGTGAATCTTTGTTGAAAGGGAGGGGACTTTGAGGAAGCCTGGCCTAGTACCTCTGATTTTGGACGTTTGGGACCCGAGACAACCCATCTTTTGACTTCAGACTCTAAATAGGTAGAGAGAGGTTACTGGCTGATAGCCCATCGACGTGTTTGTTGCACACCCCCCCCCATGCTTTTTAAGAAAACATCAAGGCAAATGATGCTTAATATATGATGCTTAATATATGCAATAATGATACTTAAAAATCTGGAGAAGATCTTGGTTTGTCTGTTCTTTTGAAGCACTGAAAACTCTGCCCCTTTTGATGGGACCTGTGCTCTTTAGGAGGCACTAGGAAATACCGCTGTCTACAGCCAGCCTTACACATGTAGGCATTTAGCCTTAGGGACCTGGTGAGCATAGATGGGATTACGCAGGTACCTGGTGGACAGGGCACAGGCCTATGGAGTGAAGCCAGCCTTGTATTGGCCTGCTGGTTTTATGGCTGACACCTTTGGGGCCTTGGAGCAAGTCATTTACCCTGCTGAATTGACTTTTTCTTCTTAGTTTCAGCTGTGTGACTTTGGCAAATTACTTAACCATTCTGTGCCAGTAAATGTGTTTCTCCATAGAGAGTTTTTAGAACGGTGCTGCCTGGCGTGCTTTCTAGTACAAGCTCCGTACATGTCAGTCATAATTATTATCTGTAAAATAGGAATTCTTGTTATTCCTAACATGGAAATCATGCCTACTCTAATATGGTTGTCCTAAAAATCAGGAAGCGATTCTGGTACAGATGTCTGGCACAGAGTCTGGGATGGGACGGGCACCTAATCAGTGAGTGAGCTCTGTGAGTATGTAGAATTTGACTGTTTCTCTTTGTCATCTTTGCATGCAGGTATTAATAAGTACTCACATGATGGCTTTTAATGTGAAATAAACTTTAATTTTTGTTTTGCATTTTATAGAGCTTTTGACCTAACAGTTGGGAATCACTGCTCAAGAGACTGAACAGATCTTGGACTCCCCCCCCCCCCCAACAAAGACAAACAAGCCAGAAGATTTCTCCAGTGAAAACATTCACATCTGCTGATTTTTCCATTCAACTTATGCTTTAGCTTTCATGCTTACATTTTGGTTTTGACACACTTTGTTAGGTATCTTCCAGTGCATCCTTTTCTGACAGCTAGGTTTTCAACACTTGCAAACTTTAAGCTAAATTGTTATCCAGAGTTAAGACCTTGGGCTCTGAAACGGACAAC